GGGGCGGATTCCTGTTCCACCTGTTGAAGCGCTTGTTCAGCTCTGTGTCTGAACTCTCAATGATGAGGAAGGTGCTCCGCCAGTCCTTCCATTTGTTTGCTTTACCTCTCGTCATGAGGTAGCCCCTGTGGCTCGTCAATTGATACCAGCCGGTACCGCCTGCCTTAGGGTTCTGGCTGAGGTAGTTCATGTGGGCGAAAGCCTCGAAGCTCGGCTCCACCCCGTGCAGTTCGCACCCGGCCACATAGCCGAGTACGTTGACCCAGGAGTTCGGGGCTAACTGCCATAACCCCAACTCATACCCATCCAAGATCCGCTGAACAACTAGATGTAGTGGGAAGCGCAGCCCAGCCTTGATGGCCGCCTCGTAGCAGCCAAAGCAGGCGCCATCATAACTGGTACCAGCCGGCCATACGACTGTGTCTTCTGGATCCGGCACGAACACTAAAAAGTCGGGGCCCATCGTGTGGTTTGCGATAAAGCTCTCCACTTTCTCTTGCATGGCCGTGATCCAGCCCCGAGGTACCGTGCAGTAGTAGGGGGGTATTTTGTTCTCGGTGAGAGGCGGATGGCTCCGCCCAATCGTCCCCCTTCTCAACTGCGTGAGAAATCCTCGCCTCTTGTAGGCGACTGTTTTTCTCTTCTGTGTCCAGGGAAGCATGGCCAGAAGAGCTAGACTCGGATCGTCCTCTGACGAGTCCGAAGAGGACGACTCTTCCCCTCTCCCGGAGGGGCCCGCCTCCTCTCCTTTAAAAGGAGCAGGAGAGAATGTAGAATTGTCAACTGTAAAATGGGAAGGGGTCACTTTGACTCCTCCCTCAGAACTGCCGGCTTTCAAGCCGCTTTGTTTCACTTCCACATCTGGCGCCTGGTCAGATGTTTCACTAATCGGCACCCTGTGGGAGGAGCCGTCTGAGTTTGAGATCCTGGCAGTCTTTTTTGTTCTGGCCATCATGCTCTGCATAGACACAAATACAGTCGGACTTTGTATAAAGGGCAAAGATGGGTCCAGAAAAGGGCAGGCGGCACTCCTAGTCCTAGATTCAGCCGTCCCCGGTGACCGGCTGATCACTAACCTAGGTCGTGTCGTGTGCTTCCGTGGTGCCATTTCAAAAAAGAATAAAGTAAAGAGAAAATTAAGAGTAAGAGAACCGACGGTTACCTGAACGAGTGACGATTGATGAAGTTCTGAAAATCCTTTGCAATCGGCTTGTCAGAGCAGGCGGTAGGCAGAAAGGGTCCAAAATGTCAGAGCAAGTTCAGGGGTCCGAATGTTCTCTCACAAAGTTTTCAAGTGTGAAAATGACCGAAGTCAACACTCCTTTATATAGGCGAAGTGAGAAGGCGAAGGGTCACTTCCAGAATTCAAAATTTGGGCGGGAGAATCTCTCGGCCTCTCGCCGACTGACACCTGTAGCAGGCCGTCGCCTGTTACAGGGCGATACCTGTCACAGGTAACACGTGACCAGTCACGTGCCACCTGTGAGGGGCAAATGATTAGGGGATTTTTCCCCACCAATCACCATCTGACAAGTGGACCAATCAGGTTCCGCCATGTGTCCGTCACATGGGCCAATAGGAGCCTGCCACGTGTCAAGCAATGATCCGTCCACTATGGACCAATTACGACACGACACGTGTCCTTCCCATGACACCTGGGATAACCGGTCACCTAGGCCCAACTTCCGAGGGAAACCCAATCAGCCCAAGGTTAACCTAAACCTAGATTGACACGTTTCCAGAGGTTATAAATACCTCCCTTAATCCTCATTAAGGGAGATTACGCTAAAACGCAGATTACACACATTAAACACTCTCACCTAGAGAGACCCAATCACTTTAATTTCCGCATTAATTACTCCTTAATCAAGTACTAACTTGACCGTCGGAGGCGGATCTCCAATCATCCGGAGCATCCGTTTGTTTTGCAGGTACAGGCGTCCGGTTCCAGTCTCGGAATTGTAACTCTCCCGCAAGACATCAGAAAACCCCGAAACACACCCCATTTACTCATTCTTACCATATCATTGTTGATACCATGTCAAACTATCAATTCAATCAAAATTGTACATATTGTATGTAAAGAAAGGACATCGTTATAGCTAGAGGTGATCAAAAATTCGGGCCGACCTTAACATCAAATCTCACGTCCAAATCCGCAAAAAGTGACGGGCTTATCGGGCCAAAGTGAGTTTTTTCGGACTGGGTTTGGATTTTTAACTCAAGAGTGATTTTGACTTGTCCAAACCCGCACTTTTTTGGACCGGACCATAATTGATTACCTCTAGTATAGAATTTCCCACATTTAGCATAGAGCTAGCAAAAACTGACACGACACGAACCGAACACGGAAAAAACGGGTTAGTGTCAAGGGTTTTCGACACGTTTAATTAAACGGGTCAATATGACACAACACGTTTAATTAAACAGGTTGGGTTAGTGCTGAGATTCTCAACACGAAATTAACACGACCCAACCCGCCTAATATAAAACCCAATAATTTATGGAACTATTGATAAATATATTGAATAAAACTAGTATTTTTTCAATTCAACACGACAACACGACATGAACCGAACCTGAAAAAAGTGGGTTAGTGTTAAGGATTTTCGACACGATTAATTAATTGGGTCAACACGGCACGATACGTTTATTATATGGGTCGGGTTAGTGTTGACCTTCCCCAACTCGTTTAATTTCCGACACAAAAATGAACACAAAACACGACACGACACGTTTTCGAGGGCTAATTTAAGCATGGCAATAAACAATTAGCAAGCAACTTTTATAATCCAAAAAAATTGGAACAAAATAGGAGAGACAAACAAACAAAAAGGAGCCCACATGGGAATGACTGAATGAGCAGTAGTATGATTCATGAATCAACAGAAGTCATGACAAATTTAGTCAGTGGAGCACTTACCTTACCAGGGCCTAACAACATGCCAGCCTACCCTTCTTTTTTCCTCTATTGGGAGGAAGTTTATCTACTTTCATCACCCATTACCCTTTTTTCCTTTTTTTTCATGAATCATCAATCATGATTATGTCAAATTAATTCACAGTTCTATATTTAAGCTATATTTCATCATAAATGTATAAGTGGGTACTACTTTTCTTCATTTTTGCTAACTTCACTATTCATTATACTTTCTGGGTCTTTTGGAATTAGTGCTGTTTTTTAAATTTTTGGGTATGGCTTTTTCTTCCTGCTTTGCCTTTCATCCTCAGCTCTCTTCTTCCAAGGTACCCACTTTCTTTTTTTGACTTACAAGCTTTTTAATTGACTTCAATTTTATATCCCAATCATCAAATTTTGAATTCAATTGTTTCTGATGTTGTGCTCAAAATTTTGAATTTTTTTGCTGTTTGCATCGTCAATTTGTTCATAATTTTGCTGAATTTCATCTGGGTGTTGATCAATTTAACTTCTTTTAGTATGTAGTTTTGGTTTCTGAATAATTCATGAGCATTTTTTGGTGATTAAAAACAGAATATTCACCCATTGATTTATTTGATTATGCTATATATGCTTGGTTTGCATGCAAAGTAGTTGAAACTTGAAAGCTGAAAAATAGCAAAGATTTAACTGCCTCTAATCCTCTATAAATCAGTGGCAAAAATGATGCATTGTTAATGTTTTAGTGTGAATGAAGCTCAGAACCACATTATTTATTGAATATTACAGTGATGTGAAATGTCAGTCAATTTCTTTAGTTTTGTCCAATTTTATGATTTAAGGTTGTTTGATGTAGATTGATGGCCGCGTTCTAGTACTTAAAAGCCATGATAAGGCGGGAATAAATCCGAGTTTAGTTCTTTCTCATCAGGGTGTGGGCACTGAAATTTTTAGACAGCAAGCGTCGAAGTCTAAGCTAAGACCTGAGATAAAGCATGATTGGTGTTTCCTTGGAGGGCTTAAAATTGATATTAGACCGAAAGTAAACAAATTTGTGTTTTCGCGGAAGAATTCTGGAGTATGCTATTCTTGTAAGCTTTCTCTTCTTAATCCCGAAAATGCTGGTTTGCTCAAAGCCTGTAACACATGATCATCAGTTATATCCTTGTCGTGTTTATAGCAGTAACAATCTTAGGTTTGGAGTTTCGACTTTTAACCCAATTCAGCATACTTTGCATGTTATTTCAGGGTTGCCGAATCCTCAAATTGCTACCAGTGCATTTACCATAGGGACAGCAGCTGTCCTCCCGTTTTACACTCTTATGGTTGTTGCTCCGAAAGCTGAACTTGTAACTTCTCTGAACTTACTGAACATGTATGAAAATCTTTTCTTGGTGCAATAGTCATCGCTAAATATTCTAAATGAATGTTACACCAAGGAAAGTGTTATTTTGTGCTCTTCTATTATGTGTATGACAGTATGATTACTGAATATACCGCAGACAAAAAAGACCATGAAAAGTAGCATACCATATGTTGTGTTTGGACTTCTGTACGCATATCTTCTGTACCTTTCATGGACACCTGAAACTATAAGCTTGATGTTTGCCAGTAAATACTGGTTACCCGAGGTTAGTTTGTTTGGCATTAACAAATTAACGACAGATTCAAATACAAAACTAATTTATATTCACAATTTTGCATTTTATGGATGATATGTAGCTTCAGGGTATAGCGAAAATGTTTTCCAGTGAGATGACATTAGCATCAGCATGGATTCATCTGTTGGTAGTGGACCTCTATGCTGCTAGGTCTCTTCTTCCCTCTCCTCTGCTTACTCTAGTAGTCTAGATTATGGTGTTCTATTATAATCAGGCGTTGATTAAAATCTAACACACTCCTATTTTGTGAACAGGCAAGTTTATCATGATGGTCTACAGAACGAAATCGAAACCCGGCATTCAGTCTCAATGTGCTTGCTTTTCTGTCCAATTGGAATCCTAAGCCACTTGATCACATCGTCACTGACCAAACCTGCTGAGAAAACTAGACATACAGATACTATTATCTAATTTTTCAGAACTGTATTTTCAGGCATTCGTGAACTAATGTATTACTCCGTAGTTAAATGTGCAAAGGAAAATGCTGTCAAGTTTTAGTTCTCATTCATACATCATGCCATGCAATACAAGAAACAGGAAAGAGATGCAAAAATAAAATCACTTTCCCTTTTCCTTATTGTCAAGAGGAAAAAATGAACTACAACTACGTTTTCTAGTTGAGTATATGTTGCTCCACAGCCAAGTCAATATTCTTCATACGCTGCATATTCCCGAACTACTAAAATATCTTTCCAACAAGTAGCTCCCAACATTGACAGACCAACATCAATTTATCTTGTTTGATCTCACAGGTCAATTTTCAAGCCTCCAAGCTTTGCCTATAAAAAACACTGACATTTTCTTGAAATTCACCATCTGAATTACAACATCAAGCTCCCAGTCCCAGCTAAATTCTTCTGGCCTAAATTAGGTATCTACAATCTCGGCTGCACAAGTAGAAATGACTAGTTAGCAAAGCTAGCTACTAAATGTAAGAAAATAAATACAATCAAACGGTTTAGGAATCGCTGCACATTTTTTTTAACGCAAAATGAAAATAGCATATATTACATTACGGGGGACTTAAACCCCAATAGTAAACAAACATAAGGATAGAGTTTGGAGATGAAAGCTAGTAGCAATCAACAAAAGATAGGACTTAAATTATACAATGCCAGCCAATAGTACGCAAAAAACCAAATAGAAGAGACAAGCTAATAGCTATCAGTAGGCGCAAAAGGATAGCTAATAACCAAGCAGCAAGTCCTAAGGAGAGTAATCCTCAGGAATCTCTGTAGCATAGACATCAAATATTCCATTAGGAGGGAAGTAGTGAAGCTGAAGGGGAGCAGATTGGGCTAATCTAATGGCAGCCATGCTGTGAGCTAGAAGATTGACTGTTCTCTTGGCATATAAGATGATGACATTCCAGTCCCTGCGAAGAAGCTTAGCAACATCCATTATAATGTTGCCAAGATCGCTGTCTGCGTAAGTCTGCGGGTTCTCCAGCATTTTCTTAAGATCCTGAGCATCGGTTTCTAGTTCAAGAAGCCTAATTCTTCTTGCCCATACTTTTTTCAGTATTGTGCTATAATTCAAACTAAGTTGTACTACAACAACTAACTACATAGCCTACATTTAGTCTCAGGGCCCATACCCAAGGCCCAACATCACTTCCCAGTTCACACACACTCCCCCACCTACCCCCTCTCCCCCCCCCCCTCCCCCCCCCCTCCCTCACTTTACACTCTCCATTCCCAATATGATCAAGTCAAAAAACTAATTCACCAAAATAAACCGATTAATATACTACTCCCTCTGTCCCTATTTTTTTTGCCCCATTTGACTGTGCGCGGTCTTCAAGACGCGTTTTAAAACGTCTATATCTTTATTTCCATATACTTAAAAATTATAAAAACATGATATTAATAAAATATACAATGACACGAATCTAACAAGACCACTCATGACTATATCATCTTTTATAGATTAAGGTAAATTATGGTCAAAAGTTTTCAAAGTTTGACTCAAAAAAATGGCAATGGAGCAAAAATATAGGGACAGAGGGAATAGTATATAACCATAACCACATCTTAGCTGATTAGCGAACTTCCAACATGATCATACTTTAAGTTGGCAGTGATGACATCTGAATCTGATCCTCCTCAAATAAATTCTCTGAAGGTTCTAGAGTTTGATGATCTCGCCTCGGACGTTCCAAAGAAGTTGCTTCATATATCCCTGTAGAGTGTAGACATTAAGTAACAGTTTAAAGATAAAGAGACAATTAAAAGCACAAAACCCTTCTCTCTCTATGCACACAACATTCAATAAACTTGTCACACTCAACCTCAAACTATATAGATAGCCAGAAATAAAAAGATGGAGCAAAGCTTCCCTTCTCATCCAAACCCCCCACCCCCACCCCACCCCCACCCAAACACACACACCTGCTCCAAAAAATAAAATATAACAAATTCTCTTATCCTCATCATTTCCCAGCACATGAAACACAAGCAAGATACCAAGGCCTGGTGCCTGGAGAAACCTTGTTAAAGCAAGAGCAAAAACCATGTTTACTGATAGCAAGTTTCATTAACAGCAAGACATGAGAATTGAGATATGCTTGTTACTGAGAGGAAATACAAAAGTCCCTTTAAGTTAACCAAATTGGAGATATCCAATAAAAAAGACCCGTCTATAACTTTCACAGCTCAAAATCTTATAATTAGAGAGATTTGACTTCAAGATATCATTATTAGAGTTCCTGGATCATCATTTACTACTAAAACTTGAACATTTGATAAAAGTTATAACACATACCAAAACCCAGAAGTGCGCAGCAAATAATGAATCCTGCCAGAGAGAAGTCCATTTTGTACAAAATCTCCAATACAATGATACATCCTCCAGCTACCATAAGGTGTTTAGGAGAAGAAAACACCATGTGCAACCTACACAGACACAAGGACTTCATCATTCATTTTTATAGTTCCATCAGTACACAGTGATTAGAGCAAGGATTTAAAAAAACACCATTTAAGAAGAAGAAACTTTACAGAAACATACCAATATTCAAGAGATATATCAGTTTCTTGAAAAATACAATGGAAAGTTATTGGAGAAGTGAAAGCAAACAAACAGGACAGGTTCAAAGTGCAATGTGTTTTCACTTTTTAGCTACCAAAACATGGTATTCGGGAAAACTTCAATATTTACTTGAGGCCTCACATCTTAGTTCACCTTTATTTTAGGTCAAATTAAAGCTCCTCGATAAAAAGTTGAGTAATTATCAGAAAAGAAAGGTAAGGGAGAATTTTATGAACATAATATGCTGTATTTCATATCATGATCATGACATGATCCAAAATTCTACTCCTTTCATCCTTTCAAAGTGTGACTTGACTTTTGATCATCACATTAGAGGAAGCTCCTAAAACATTGGGCCTTCTTTTGGGTAGGTACAGAATAAAAGCCAATTGAGAGCTTTACACAACACTATAGCCAATACATCAATAAGATAAGAAATAATGTGACAACGTCACCAGAGAACAATGATGATTCTCAGCTAAAAGTTATAGGAGCAAGGTAAATACAATTAACTGCTGTGACCTAGAGAGACCAAACCCTATATAAGTCTATATCTGCAAGGAGGCACAGTTTTAAATATATGATAGATCCAATTACATATAATGCACAACAAACACCAACAGCAGAAATCTATAAGGAGAATAATAGAATAGCTGGCTAGGTACCTCTCTTCTGCAATATTCTCAACATAGGATATCAATATCACTCCAAAAAGGATGGTGCTTATGTAAGGCCACGTGGAAAAGGGAAGATCCCTATTGCTATCAGGAGCTGTCCCCTGAAGCTCAAAACAATATCATCATTAAAATCCAAACGAGCACATAAGTTGGAAATTAGTAATTAGAGAAAAAAGAACATGATGAAAGTAGACTGAATTCAGAATACCAGAATCACATCCCACATGGCAACAGGAAACATGAAGCATGTAGCAGAAGCAATGGTAATGGCATGAAGGCGCCTCTTAAGCTGATTCTGAGATACATAGATAGAAATTTAAGACAGTTTTGTTTTATTAATAGCAGGTTGAGCAAATTAAACTGCATATGTATAAAGTAGATAGAAACCTTAATTGAAATACGCCGTGCAATCACTCTTCTGAAAGCTGATAATATTCCTGCCAACATAGGAACAGCCATTTCCCTCATTCCCAATACCTTTTCCTTCTGAGCATCGGAACCCAGATTCTCTCCCGATGGTAATCTATGGTTAAGTTCACAGCTTAAATTTTTAATAATTTAAAAGGATAATAGCAAGAACAAAACCAGGGCAATATTCTCTCCCTTCCCATGGGAGAAATAGGAGCCTATGTACCCAAAGGATATAAAAAGGAGAATAAGTGGCCATGGCCCATCCTTGAGATAAGAAGTAGAGGGAAGCTATCATTGCTATCAGTCCACCAACCTGACAAAAACATACAGCATTTATATTACCCAAGACACAGTCACACAGGTTACATTCAATTTCATTACTGAATGTAGATTATACCACAGCCTAATAAAATCGACAACCTGCATCTAATTTGTAAACTTTGATGCAATTGCTTCTGAAAGACACAATGTGCAACAAGAAAATGCAATTTTTCTATCACACAATCACATTCATTAAATCAAGCTTCAAAGTGACCAGTTTTTTTTTCCCCTAAAATATCTGTGGCAATAGACAGGTCAAAGAATATAATATTACCAATTCAAGCTGCCATAATTGGGAAAATAAAAACATATGGAAATAAGATGACAGAGACAGTTAGAAGCTTGGAGCTACCTTCTTCCAGATATGACCCCTACGCCCATATAGAACTGCAGATAATACTCCAAGTACAGCACCTGAGTACTCTGCAAGAATTGCTCTGAGTTGAACAACTGTAATTGTTAATTAACTTCTCTCATAGTAATACCATATGCGGAAAAAGGACACAAGCAACATATATAGAAACAATATTGAAGAATTAACAGGAAAATGTTAAAAACAATGACAGCTGGGAATATTAAGTTCATTATCCTGGTCCGTTAAAGGATGCTATCAACTGATACTTCCCTAGAAAATAAAAAAGAATTGAAGAGGGGGGGGGGGGTTCACATTCCAATCATCGCCAATGAAGTCATCATAAGTAGACAATAAGAAATCATACCGAAGAGGGCCACATGCTTTGACTCCTTTCACCCAAAGGATGAAATACAGAGCTGTTATGGCTCCATTTATCACAGATGGAACAATCTGGAAGATGTAGTAAAATCCAAATTTTAGATTAAATGGTATTAGGAAGCAAAGATTACATGTTTGTTTCCTTGTTGCCTAACCTGTGTGTTGGAAAGTGGCCTTCCTCTCCAAGGTTTTTGCAAAACTAGAAACATGATGGATGATGGAACCAAGCAACTGAAGATATATAGCACAACCGAAGATTCTGACTGAGACAAATAATGGTACATGGAATAGATTGACCATATTCGCATAAAGTTCCCGGTGAAATGAATTATTCTAAGAGGAGTTTGCCTGTGAGAAAGCATATCATTGGAAATTAATTTATACAATGGAAGTGGCAGCAAAAGGGATAAAATACTGGTAAAAACACTACATGAATTATAAAGATAAAGTTACAACCTATTGACCTTAATGATGCTACATGAAAGATGAAAGTACAAAAATGGTTTGATCTTAAAAGCAATTTGAGTTCTTTTATGCTAGCAGCAATACCAGCAGAATCATGACTCACATCCTACGACCTACGTTACTCATAATCGCGACACGGGGTAATTGTGTCAAACACGAGTACTTTTCCAAGTATCTGACTTGGCTACTGTCTGAAGAATCAAGAATATCCAAAATTTATAGCTTAAAATGAAGTGCGCAGTGCCGATACTGATATCCTTATGTTGGGGATCCGACATGGGTACTTATGGTGAAATGAAGAGTTTGAGTAACATAGCTCACAATCTACTACAGATCACATAAATCATAGCTACTCAGATTAGAAAATTATGTCCTCAGATATCAGAAACTACTGATGCAGCCCTCCGTATCATTAAATGAAGATGTAACCCATACTTTCCATGTCAGTTGGATCCCATTGGCATACATACAGAAAGATTCATGCTTGACTGACCAGAACCCCAACGCACCCCATCCCTAACCCCAACAGATACACACCAACAACAACTTAGAAAATTATACTATAAGGAATTACATAGAGACTTTATCAATAATACGAGGACTACATCCCATGGGGGAGCCCCAGAATTTAATGCCAGCTTTTCTATTACTAAGCTTTCTTTTGACCAACTAACTTGTGATTACCAGTCCAGCTTCACTTTCAGTCTGGGGTATTAATTTTTAAGTGGACTTTAGTTAAACATGAATCAAAACATTGCCCCTCTGGCAAATAACACAACAACACCTTGTACTGTATGTCACCACATCCCAACCCAATGTAATATACAATGTAAACATCACCGGCGTCTATACACCTCCAAATTTAAAGCCTAACCAATCCATTTACCTCTATTCCTTAATTTTGAACCTCACTGATCCGTTCTCTTGTCTGTAGCTCTTGGCCTTGGAAAAAATTTCTAGTACATTGTACACCCCCTTGTTATGTCCCCTTTTCTATATCGGACAGATCCTTATAATAGTTCATGTTAGCCGACCCCAAATCATTTTGGGACTAAGGCTTTGTTGTTGTTGTATATTGTACACCCCAAGGAACTCCTTCCATTAACGTCATTATTGACTCAGACAACAAAACCCCGAAAAAACAACATATACTGTAGGAAAAATACAAGAGATGTTTATCAAACCAGCAAAATCCAATCAAACAATCTATTCTCACTAATGGAAGTAAACATAATTGTATGCAAATCAGCTCAAATGAATGGCTCCTTCATAAACTCAAATAGTTCATCCCATCTTAAGTAAGTAAAACTTACAAGTTCCAGTCAATTCTAACCTCCAAAGTAAGACAAAATCAATGCTCAAATATAGAAAATTCCCAGATAAGCTCAAACTCCCAATTGAGTATCACAATATACTATCCATTTCCAAATTTATTAATCATCAAAATACTTCAGAAAAAAATTCTGATCTAGGGTCTTGAAGTTCAACATACCCAAATAATGTAATCGATTAAATAACATTAATTGAACAAAAATTAAACAAAATCACAGAAACCCAAATGCTAAACCAATAACAAGCGCGGAAATTAGGGTTCTAAATTCAATACAAAAGTAATAAAAGGGACTGAAAGTTAATTTTACCTGGAATAAACTGAGTAACGATCCTCAGAAGTTGGCTTAGGAGACATCATCTTGTTGAACCCCAGAAAATAAACAATTTTAATTCTAAAATAAAATGTAGAGTGTGAAATTTAACACAAATTAAGTGAAACAAAATCCCTATTTTACATCTTCAAAGCCATGAATGGTTGCTTTGATTTGTTTCTCAGGCATCTGGGCACGAGTTAAGTCTTTGAAGCACGAACTTAGGAGTTGAGTCTTTGAAGTCGTTGGACCATTTCATAAATTTTGTGTTCTTTGGCATGTGGGCTAGAATTATGTTTTATATTGGTGTTGGGATTTTGCGTTTACGGTGCGTTTGGTATATGGAATGGGAATAGAATTTTAAGATGACAGGCGTAAACTGTGTGGTCAACTTGAAAAATTATGGATGATTGATTGATAATTCATTGGTTTTTTTTTTTTTTTTTTTGATTGAATTGTTTGAATCGTGATGGAAATATATCGGGAGTACACCTTTATAATGCAAATATTATCTATTTTGTTTTACTCATCAATGGTATTTTTGGTAATTTGCTCATTTCCCAATTAACACCCCTAGGTACTGATCCAAATGTTTCTCATTCTCAAATCCACCTTCATTTTTCATTCCCACACAACAAACATGAGAATTATTTCAAGTTGTTAAAATTATCATTCCAAAAAAAATAAAAATAAAAAATAAAAAAATCTCATGAAACATGTTCAAATTAACTGCATTCCTTATTTATCCTAGTAATCTTACAAAGTGACTCCTTAGTAGTGGTGTAGCCGTGTAGGGTTTTGAAATGGAAAGATCTAGTCTAAAGTCAAAGAAATTGGTTAAAAATAAAATTGGATTGGATAAATATTGATTTTGGATGAATTTATATTGGATTGGAATAGTTTCATTATTTTTTAGGTAAATTCCACACCAATAACTTCTTTAGGAAAAATATCATATACGTAGTACATTATCAACATAAGATTTTTATTACTTATTTTTGTTAAGTAAATTACCTTGATAACCAATATTTACGTAAGAACATCAATCAATAACTATATAAATTATTGATTGATAACTATTAATTATTATATAAAATATCACCAAAATATAATTTAAAATATATTGATATCTAAATAGAGTTCGTATCAGGAGAAAAGTTGAATAAGAAATAATATGTTGTCGGAATGATATGTAATAATATTATTTTAGGTTGCACAGTTTTGGATGAAATTATAGAGTAATTTTAATAGTGTGTACAAAGAAAATTTATTCGCAAGGTTAATACATAACTTTAAAATTTTACATTTAGTTAACAAGAAAAATAACACTTTAGCAATACCACACCGAAATACATAAAATAACCATATGCTCAAATGCTTAATTTTAAAGTACATATTTAGCTAATGTTTAGTAAATGTTTCGGTAGTTTAATTCACACTAATTTTGCCATTTTTTTACATTGATTAAAATAGTTGTAAATTCCACACCAATTCCAATTTCGGATGATTCTCTAAACTAAGCTTAACTATGAAATTAATTACGAAAGAAGACGCGTGACAAAACTATTTACCAAACTAAGCTTCCAGGTTAAAGCGCTGTCTTGGACAGCATTTTACATGTTAACTTTTTTTAAAAAAAATTCTTAATTTTTGATTTAAATTAAAAAAAAAAAAAAATTACACTAAAAACGCTGACCAATGTAAATTTTTTTTTTTTTTTTTTAATTTTTAATTTGTACCTCCTCCTCCTGCCATAATCTCCCTGCAACAAAAGTTTTTCAATACCCCATAAGAGAATCAGTAACTTTTTTGTTGAGTTGTTTAAGAATTTGAGACATGTGTCTGCTAATTCCTTCGGTGGGTATTTCACCATACTCTTCTTCTTTAGTTTTTTTTTTTCTATCTTCATTTGCTGCATTAGGTTACTGTTGAAGTTGAAGAAATTTGGGTTTGAGAAGAGAAGGTACTGTTGAAGTTGAAGAAATTTGATGATTCATAAATGATGACGAGCTAGTTGCTGCCGCTGATTTTCTCAAGGATTTGAGCATCGAAGACGCCATTTTTCTCTGCAAATGTTAAACCCTTGGTAATAGTTTTTATTTATTTATTTGTTTTAAATCAGAGTCAGCGTTTTTAGTGTAAAGTTTTTTTTTTATTTATTTGTTTTAAATCAGAAATGAAGAATTAAAAAAAAAAAAAGTCAACATGTAAAACGCTGACTGAGGTAGCGTTTTACACTTTAATATTTTATTTAAAAAAAAAATTCAGGGATGAAACGCTGTCCGAGACAGCGCTTTACGCTGAAAGCTTAATTTGGTAAATAGTTTTACCATGCGTCTACTTTTGTAATTAATTTCGTAGTTAAGCTTAGTTTGGAAAATCATCCTCCAATTTCTATCACAAACTCACAATTAGCTTAGTTCCTACATAAAAATGGCAGCTACAATCTGTCTTCCTTCATTTTCTCTCTCCAAAATCTTCCCACCATCCACTAAAATGACAGTAAAACCCCTAGCAATGCTCAGCTCAACTGGGTACAAAATGGGAGTGCAATACGAGCTGAAACAAGGACAGAATCGTCAGTTTCACGAGCTCTCATCTGGGTTAAAAATGGAGGTAATTTCCCAGAAGAAACAGAAAAGGAAAGAAGATGAAGAGGAGAGAGAAAGTCCGCCGCTTGTATTTGTCCATGGTAGTTTCCATGGTGCTTGGTGTTGGGCTGAACATTGGTTGCCGTTCTTTTCTCATCATGGGTTTGACTGTTTTGCCCTCAGCTTGTTAGCTCAGGTCAGTACTCTTCTCAATTTTTGGTAATTTAATTTTGAGATGAATTTTGGCTTCGTTCGTGGCTTAAAATCATGAAAATTGAAAAGGGTAATTGTATAGTATACTTATTTTTTAGCTTATACGTATAATTCATAGATTATATTGGCATCTTGATTCTTGTAATTTTTGGTGACGATTGTATTATTATTAGTTTGATTAAACTGTTTATAATAACAATTGTGACTTGTACTAATGTACTGTTTCTTTTGCCTTACTTGAATATAAGTGGGGTGTATATGGTGTATGTATTAGGTTTGAGTTTGTTGCATATGGTGCATTTGCACTTATGCAAGTGATTAATCAAAATTCTAAAATATATGTATGCCCTGTCAAATCCGTTAATCCGTGGCACGAAAGTAAAATACTGCATTTGATCACTGGGATTGTGTTAAATTTTAGCTTATTGAAAGCTGATCATTGCATATCAAAGGGACAATGTAGAATGTTAGATTAGTATAAAAGTATGTTGTTGGGTCATGGGTGATAGGCCTGATAACAGGTCAAGCTGAGGTCAAGGTCGGGGTAGCTTTGCTTTGAACACTTACATTCTACATGAGTTATACCTCAGCTCGAGCCTAGAATGAAACTCTTTTTAGCTCAGGAAAAAATTTCAATTTAATTTTCAACTCAAGTTTTGCAATGAGAATAATAAAATGCATTAATATACTGATGTTACAAGATTGCTAATATCAAGTTTTTGCTAATACTTATAGACCTCATAAGTATTGTGTAAAGGCAAGTCAAATGTATAGTACAAAATATTAAATACTTAAAGAAACTCAAGCCAGCTGAATAGCTTATGTGCCTGTTAAGTTGAGCTTAGTTTGCTTATATACTCCGTATTATTTTCTACCTAAGCTTAACTAATTTGAAAGCGCTCTAGGCTCTTATCACCCCTAGGCATTGGATAAGAAAAGTAGGGGATCCTCTCTTCCATCACTAAGCTTGATTGGTTGCTGAAGTGAATCTTTGCTGATGTGATTTCTGCTTTTGGCCAGGGTGAAAGTGATGCTCCTGCTGATAAGGCTGCTGGCACTCTCCAGGTAATGCATTCCCGGTTCCTTTCTCCTCTCTATCCCCTCTGCTGAACATCTGAAGTTTTCCAACTGCGGCTGTCTAATCTATGAAAGCTTATTTTGCACATCTTGATGAGGCCATCTTACTATTCTGGAATCTGTATTGCTCAGTAGACACATGCAGCTGATGTTGCACACTTTATCAAGAAAGAACTTACATCTTCTGCTGTTTTGGTTGGACATTCATTTGGAGGTCTTATCGTTCAATATTACTTATCAAGCCTAGGAAACAAGCAGATGTTAGGTTGTTTCATGTTCCCTCCTTTAGTACCGTCTTTTGTTTCACATTATGTATGAAATCTTGAAGATATAGTGATAGTGTCTTGTTTATTCAAATTTGAAAGATGAAACCCAGCTGTCTCTTCTCTGGAGATGTTGTGATGATGTTGCTTTGATAATAATGTTCCTAATATTTGAGAGCATATATTAGAAGCTAGCTGAAGAAAGAGTCGTATCCTTATAAAGAATCAACGTGCATGAAATTTCCTAGCTAGGAAATTAAACAAACTTTACTTCCCAACAGAATTATTCACTTGCAAGGTGGTAATTGCATGTTCCATTGAATAGAATATGATTAACTATCATTCTAATACTTACGACCTTTGTTACTAGATATGAGCAATCAACACCCAGATCTTGCGAGAGCTGTACTTGTTTGCTCTGTGCCACCATCGGGTAATAGGTGATGATTTTTCCTTCCCCTCTCGATTGTATTCTTTTATAAGCTATCTTTTCTAAATATTCTTATAGTATCTTGTGACTTCTGTTGTGTAGTGGCTTAGTGTGGAGATATCTCTTTTCCAAACCAATTGCTGCTTTCAAGGTATTGCCTTCTCTTAGTATTTGTTTACTGGTCTTTGCCTGCTTCTTAGGCTTTTTATTGATTTAATTCAATCATTATACGCTGTTAAAATGATTGTCAGAAACCAGAATTATAATAGTTTTTTTTTTTATATAAAAAACCTCATAAATCATGGTCATGCTGTCATGCATGCTTAAGTTTTTTTTTCCTTTCCTATTAGGATCTCTAAACCCCCCTCCCGAGTTGATGACTGTGCCTTTTTTTTGTTTTTTTGACAAATGACTGACTGTCTGTAGTTCTGTACCTTTGCATAATGGTGTTTCACAAACTGTTTAGTTAAATATTTTTAGTATCAGAAGCACCTGTTAGAAAATCTACAATACTCATAATTTACTTTGTACTCCATAATTCGTGTAATATGTATTGCTGAAACTTACAGAAAAAGTTATTGACTAGTGGAAACACTTGTTCTTAAAAATTTCAGTTTAACATTTTGAAAATTTTGCAATGAGACTTTCTATTACAATATACAAACCATGGGTCAAATCTGCTGTTACAGTGAGCTAGAAAAGTAATTACCTCCAAAATTCTTATTGAAAGGATGCAAGGATCAAGTTTTTGTCTAGGATGACAGTATCTTACCTTCCTAGTTTGGAGCAACTCAGAACTGATGTTGTAGTTGAGGGGAATTTCATAGCTCAAAAGTTCTTCTGAACTTGTGCATCAACTTATTGAGCAAAATTATGGCGTAATTTAAAAAAAAAAAAAAAAAAAAAAAAAAAAAAAAAAAAAAAAAAAACACCTTGCTCCACCCTTGGACAACCAATTCTAATTTCAAATCTGCAGAATGCTGCTACAAATTGTAGTACAAATGATTAATGGGGTTGGGATTGGTCCAATGCTTCATTGGTGTCTGCATGCCAGATGCCACCTCCTAGGTCCATCACTCATCACTCTTCCTCCCTGTAATCTGACTATATTGCCTATCTATGCCAAAACTACTAGTACCTTTGTCAGGAAAAGATGTACTTAGTGTTTGTCAACTACAAAGTTCCTTACTACAATTTTACTGGTCATTGCTATCCCTATCTCAATTATCAATTTTAACTGGCCTGTACTGATATTTGGTCCACCTTATTCGAGTTACAGAAAAACCACTTTGTTAAATTTAGTTGGGTGACCATTCTGCCAATGCCGCTCTCCTTTCAAACCCCAAATGTGTCAATGTGATGCTGTATAACGATGAGAAATCTTAGTTACATTCTACTTTTGGCAGGTTACTCGCAGCTTAGCAGCAAAAGCTTTTCAGACCGATTTGTCACTTTGCAAGGAAACATTTTTCTCCACGCAGATGGACGACAACCTGGTCCAAAGGTTAGCTGGATAGTTTGCCTTATTGTACATGCTTGTTATGCACACTCCATGTGATATCCAACTTAGCTTTACATTGTGTATTTAAGACTTCAACTTTGACTGATACTCCAGGTATCAAATGTTGATGAAAGAGAGCTCAAGGCTGCCTTTGTTTGATTTGAGGAAGCTAAACGCTTCCCTTCCTGTTCCTTCAGTGCCTGAGTCTTCTGTTAAAGTTCTCGTTGTGGGTGCAAGAGATGACTTCATAGTGGTATAATTGTTTTCTAGATGCTCCTTAATTTTCACGTCATCCCTTATAATCCACATTCTACACTAGATGATATGCACCTAGGTCTTCCGCTTTTGCTGGTTTTGTTTCTTGTTCTTTGATTTTATTGTCATTAAGAATGTGGGATGATTAATATTTTATATCCTTGTAGGATGCCAAAGGGCTTGATGAAACGGGCAAATTCTATGGTGTCTCTCCCGTCTGCGTGGATGGTGTTGCACATGATATGATGCTGGATTGTTCTTGGGAGAAAGGTGCCAATGTTATTCTTTCCTGGTTAAGGACTGTTGACTCCTGAGACAAGGGATATTTTTTTGTTGAGGATTATTTTAGTTCAGTGGCTTCTTAGAAGCCCAGTGAGTTGTAATTAGTCACACATTGCATAGTAAACTTTTTGTTCTGGAATTTTATTTTTGGTAACCTTCTATCGGTGTTAATTGGTTCTAACTCTGGCCAAGAACTATGTGTGTAATACCCGTCGTAATTGCTTTAAATGATGGATTTGCCAAATCCTTTGTTTAGGAATCCAAATAATTTGACGCCTACTAAACCTCTTTACAACTTGGATTTGTAAATTACTTAATTTACCATGTCATCTCAAATTCTCTCTCCTCTCTTACTTACTCTCCTCTCCAGCTTTCTTCTCCTCTGATTTCCAATTTCTCTCTCCTACGGTTTGGTTTTGATTTTCCCTCTCCTCCATTGAAGCAGATTTGTGAGACCTCTCCTCCATTGAAGTAGATTAGTGAGCTCTTTCCTCCATTATAGCTCTCTATCCTGCGTGGAAGTGTACTTTCGATTATCAATTGAAGCAGCAGCGCGTGTGAGCTCTCTTCTCCTCCGTAAGACCGGCTTGTGAGCTTTATCCTCCATTGAATCAGCTCTGAGGTAGAAATTTTTTGTTTAATCGATTATCAATCTCATAATCTAGGGTTTATCGATAATTGCGGGCTTTTTTCGCCTTTTTTTCAATTTTTGTTATAGATTTAGTTGATTTCTGTGTTTAAGATTGTGTTTTTGATTTGATTGCTTGATTTGTTCTTTAATTTGCGTTTTTGAGTAAAAGCTAAAACAGAAAGTAAACTGCTAGTTTAAGCGCCCACTAGATGTTCGATGAAATGCTAAAGTGAGAAATTGTTTAAAAACCAGTATCTTTCCTCTAAATTTGTTGTTCTTGAGCTGCCCTTTTTTTTAAAAAAATTTTAATGAATGAACTTTGTGTAGTACTGACCTGAATGTTTCAAGTGGAATTTTGTATAGTTTGTGTAGTATACTTTTGAGTAAATTTGTTGTTCTAGAGCTGCCCTTTTTGAGTAAATTTAAGTTTGCTGATGTTTTATTTGATAAATTGGGTAGGATTCCTTCTTGCTCTATCGCCTTTTAGGACCCTTTCTGTCTAGTAAGAAGTGATGGATTCACTTATTTCTAGCCAGCCTAAGTAATTAGTTTGCTTACATTAGTATCCATGACAAAAAATTTCCTTTGATCCTAATTTGCCCATTTATTCTGATGCATTTGTGGTGAGGATTTATGGTTTATTACCAATGTGTTACATGGCAAAGAGCAAGTTAGTTCATAGAAGTTTGTGATTGGCAATTTTAAGATGTTACATTTTTGTCTAGTAAATGACTAATCTAATATTTGATAATGCAGACAAATACTTTCTTGTGGATTTGGGCTTTTCAAACTGTGAGGGATTTTTAGCTCCTTACAAAGGGACCAGTTATCATTTAAACTGTTATTTTTTATTGAATAATCTTAAATGACTAATGTAATATTTGATAACTTAGTTTAGATCTTTCATTTTCTGTTCTTTCATTCTCTGTTCTTTCATTTTGAATGTGTGCTTGAATATCTTGTATGGAGTAATTCTGAGAGTCAATGATAATTGTTGCTTTTTTATTCTGTTGTTCAGACTTCTACCTCTGTTCATGTGACTTTAGTGGACTGCGGTGGTTAGGACTGGGCATTATTAACCTAAGCATTGTTTGACAGTCTCTCTATGGCTTTCTATTCTGTATATCTTACTTCAACCTGTTCATAGTGCTCCGTTAAATTGCGAGTTTTAGTTCCTATAATTTATGCCTTCTATTAGGTTCATTTTGATTGAGATGTGTTGTTAGATGTTGCTGCAACCAATTGGTTCTACTGTTGGATGTCGTTGCTAGCTAATCTGAATCTAGTTGTGTTTCTGAATTTCATTTTCTGCTTATAGTTTGCCTTAAATTGATTTTGATTATTGGTAATGTAGGAAGTTCTCCAAGCCACTGCATATCAGAACAAATTCATTGAGAATTGGGACAATATTTGTACTTTGTTTGCATCGGATAGAGCAACTGGTGACGGAGCTGAGCATCATGATGAGGCTGCTGCTGCAATGGACACCGAAATTGAAGGGGTTAGTACCTCCAAGAATTCTTTCGGAGGATCAAACAAGAGGCTTAAGAGAGATCATCTAGCAGATGCAATGAGGTGTTTTGCAGAGTCGTTCAAGAAGTATGTGAGCAGAGCGCAAGGGCCACCGAAACCAAGTTCACAAGAGATCTACGAGGTAGTTTGGATTGTACTTGGGATCTCGCGTCACCAAGTCCTAAAAGCTGTGAAAAGGTTCATGAATGGGACGGCTGATGAGTTTGAAATGTAAAGAAATCTACCAAAGGGGGGAAAATTAGATTGGGTTTTATTATTATGCATTAATTATTAGCATCTTTATGTAGATGTTAGTGAACTAAAACTACTAGCTAGATGTTGATATGTTGTCTTTTTGTTCAGAGTTTGCTAGCAAAATGTACCTTGGATTGAAATTCCTTGTATTGCCTAACAACTATTAGAATTTGAAATTCAGGATTTGAAATTGCTTGTCTTGCCAAACAACTTTTAGAATTTGAAATTCTCAACTTTCCCAAACACAAGACTTGGAATTGAAATCTAGAAATTGAAATTCTGAAATTGAATTCAACTATTTGAAATGAAATAAGTGTATCCAAACGCAACCTAAAAGAATTTAATATACTACTCATACCAACAAGATGCAACTTTCTTTTACGGAGCCATATGCTAATATATTTCTTAGTTAATCGTGTTGTGCATGAGTGAGGACAAATGTGCCGGAAGGACTCGTGTTGGTGTGTGAGGACAGTTGTTGGCCCTTAATGCGCATTCCGTGACAATAGGCCTCACCCTGATTTGGGGTCGGGGTGTTACAATGTGTACATTGTGATAAATGCAAAAATCATAGTCTATGAATGAGTTGAATAGGTATTCATGAGTAATTGATTGCATGATTTCTTTAGCATAATCACTGCATCAACAATAGAGGATAGTAACCATTAATACATCGGGATGTACCTAGCTCTCGGTAAACCTTTTCCAATGGATTTAGAATTCGCTAGATGAACAAATGTGCATAAAAATAGTCTTGTCGGTCCTTGTCGCATTAATTTCGAATAACGGAGTAGTTAATGCCTTAGTGGTATGCCTATTACTTGACATGTTCCTTCCTCGCCAGAAAAAAAAATGACGCATATGTAAATAATATATTACGTAGTAGAACATTAGGAAAAGTTGTCACTTTTAAAATACTTAAATTCAATAATATGTTCTATAACTGATTGATGGAAATAGCTTGTACCAAATTGGGTTATTAACGCGAAAGTATCCTTTTTATAGGGTATTTTCATTTTTACCACCTTCAAATAATGACTTTGTCGAATTTACCACCTCCAAAAAAAAAAGATTTACTTTACCACCTCATAAAAAAATAAAACATCAGTTTTACCACCAATCACCTCCAACTAACGGATTCCGTCCATAAATCCGTTAGTGGGGCCTACCTTGCACACGTGTCGCCATATTATTGGGTAAGTTTTTTTAAAAAATTAAAAAAATCCCCATTAATCAACCGGTGTTGCTGCCACCGTCAGGACCCCCACCGCCGACCAGCCACGACCAGCCCCCACCACCTAACCGCTACGACCAGCCCCCACCACCTAACCGCTACGACCAGCCCCACCACCGCACCGCACAGCCACAACCACCTTTCCACCAATTTTTATTTATTTTTTTGCTCTATTTTCTCGAAAGCCACAACAATGGCGTCTCTTCCAATGGAGTTAATCACCTCCATTCTTTTCGATTACCCACTAAATCACTACTTCGCTTCAAATGCGTTTCCAAGGCTTGGCATTCCTTAATCAATCAACAGCACCCATTTAATCAGTCTTCATCTCGCTCATTCTCTCTCCTCTGACCGTCGTCTTCTTATCCTCAACCATGGAAGTCACCTGGAATCGACTCCATTGAAGTGGGGTTCTGAGCTTGATGCAAAAAACGATTGACAAGGTTTGATTTACCCAATTCTTTTTCTGGTTTTGAGGTTTCGATTTGTGGGTATTGTAATGGATTAATTGCTTTGGTTTGTAGAAATGTTGATGATAATCGATTTGTATCCTTGTTGTTGGTGATTTGGCTTCTTAGTTTTTGGCAGCCACCAAATCCCGACCACCCATAAATCCTCTTCTAATTCCGACCACTCTAAAAACCCTAGCCACCACCAAATTTCGCACTCCTAAAACCCTAACCACCACCTAATTCCGACCACCTCCCTAACCCACACACCAAATTCCGGCCCCTCCTTAGTCACACACGAAATTCCGACCAACCGAGGTAGTTGATTTCGTTGCTGGTTGGTTTACACGGAAGATCGGGGAAGATGAAGAAGAAACGTCAAAAAGGTGGGCCCTACTAACGGATTCGTGGACGGAATCCGTTAGTCGGTGGTAAAATCGATTTTTTGGAAATTTTGTTGGTGGTAAAGTAAATCTTTTTTTTTTGGAGGTGGTAAATTCAATTAAGTGGTTATTTGAAGGTGGTAAAAGTGAAAATACCCTAATATAAATAATGTTTAAAATTTCCCACAATCGAAAATGTCTAGCTGGATTAGGTTTATTTTTTAAAGTTTTAACTATCAAAGCATGCAATATTTGATGTTATTCAATTTAAATAAAATATTATTAAGTAAATACAAAATGAACAAAGCATTGGCTGAGTCTAAAAACGAATTATAATCCTTTTCATGTTTACTTGAATATAGATAGCACGAATAGAAATAAAATTAACTCGAATACTAACAACTTTGTATCTGAGTGTTAAATTAAGAATCACCTAACCATGACTCCACTCTCACACTACTCAACCCGAATAACTCGGTTATCACGTACTAAAAACAATACTTCCTCGTTGCAAAATAAATATCCAGTTTGATTTTTGCACTATTAATAAACATCACATGAATCAATGCCGAATGCCGATGCTTTATACATTAGATTAAACATAGGTATGCAAATACTTGTTAAAATTGGTTCAATATTTAATTTTTGAATATCAACCTTTTATGTGATTGGTCAAAATTTATTTTGAAAGGAGCAGTATTATAAACTTTGGGCTTCTTATAAAAATAAAAAAATGAGAACACAAACCTGAAAACCCAAGATAAGAAATCAGTAAAAATTAAGATAAAACGGGCCAAGCCCAGGAGAGAGAAAACAAATAAATCACAGCCGTCTATCTCTAGGTCAAATAACTCTCCATGCTCCTCATTTAAACCCTACATTCCAGCCTTCAACCCTTCTCTGTTCTCTTTCACTCTATTTGCAGCAGCTTCTCTTCCTCCCCTGCTAGGGTTTTTCTCTCTTTTCCCCGAGATCTTACTTCTGGTACGTAATCTTACTTTCTGGGTTTTCTTCTCTTCGTTGTTCTTCAATTGGGTTGCATTCACTTTCTGGGTTTGTTCTATGCATTTCGTTTTTTGTTGTGTTTAGGTTTAGTGAAATGTAGAATTGAATTTGTATACTATGTTCGAGTTTTTATAAATTTTGATTCTAGGGTTTAAAAGTTGGAAATTTTGCATCTTTCATTATCTGGGTTTAATTTACTGCGTTTTAATATTATGATGTTAGATTTAATGAAATTGTTCTTCTTTTATTGTTTTAAGCTTCGATTATTAGAATTGTAATTATTTTGATTCCACGGTAATATTTTGCTATTTGACGGAGATATTATGATATGAGTTTTTGCTGGAATTACTTGGTGTTACCGTTGGAAACTTAGAGTTAGCATTCATTATCTAAGAGAAGTATTTGGAATAAATGTATTAATTGAGTTTTTGTCAAATTGAATAATTTGGAAGATAATAGTCTGATAGATTTGTATTGGGCTAAATATATGAAAATGGTTGCCTAGTCATTTAAATGTTGGATTTTGTTTTTCGTATAATTCCAATCAGTAGGTTCTGATTACCTGTTAACCTCGAATCATCGTAGACCATTATAAATTATATCCATTTTATGTGCATTATACCAGTGGCAACGGTTTGATTGTTAGGGGAATCATGAGTTGGACAGTTTGGGGTTCAGACTACCATATCACTGAAATAAGGCTATTTTGGTTTTATAGGATCATCTAGCTTAGAATTGGTGCATGTTGAAATCTAGTGCTATGTATAATAATCGAATGCTAGTTGAGTTTTAGATGGCATTTGCCAGTGAAGTACTGTGTGACCTGAGCTGATTTGTGTTGTGTTTTGTTTTTGTGTTTCAGCTTTGTCAAAATGTTTACTTCAATGAGGAAGATTCAGAAAGATAAGGGTGTAGACCCAACTGAATTTGAGGAGACTGTTGCTCAGGTAGCGTTTGCTTGCATTAAGCTGCTTTTATTGTTAAGTGACTAGTTGTGAATAAATTCACTGAGAAATGAGATATAATTGAGAAATAATTATTTTTATAGGCTATTTTTGACCTCGAGACCACCAACAAGGACCTTGTACTTGATTTGAAGGATCTGTTTATCAACTCTGCTGCGTAAGTGCTGCTTGATTTGTATGCTCATGACCTGAGAGGTCTTTGTTTGCTTTGAGGTTTGATAATGTGTTTTTTTTTTTTTTTTTTTTATCGATGTGCAGTCAGGTTGACATTTCCAACAACAAAAAGGCTGTTGTTATCCATGTCCCTTACAGATTGAGAAAATCTTTCCGCAAAATTCACAGCCGGTTGGTGAGAGAGCTTGAGAAGAAGTTCAGTGGCAAGGTAAATTTGACCTGCATTTCTTTATTGCTTATAAAGTTTTTTAGATGGATTGAATTCTTCCATTTATTTTTGTCCGTTCCATCAAAAACAGCTTTTAGTCATTTCCAATAAGGCTATGTAAGATTAAGTTGTATGAACTTTTAATAAGCATCATATTAGGATTGTGCTTTATTTTCTAACTAGGATCTATTATTGTGCTGTTTGATCAATTAAGTATGGTGATTTGTCATTTGTATGGACATCTACCTTGACAGTGCACTTTTTTATGTCTCATGGTGGTCTATTTGGAGTCTTTTGACATCTTGTAGAATTGCTAGTATGATTGTTCCTTTTGTATTAGCCTCTGTTACTGGCTAGCTTAGCTGGCAATTATGTTCTTGGGTGGCCTTCTCTTGGTTATCTCTGATGTCTGCAAATTAAACATTTTTAGTTTGACATTTATTAGGTAGAGTTATGTGGTCAAATATTACAGTCTTAATTTTGAGTTATGTTTTATTTGTTTTTCTTACCTTTTGTCCATTCTTATCCTGCTATCTCTTCAGGATGTTGTCTTCATTGCCACCAGAAGGATTGTGAGGCCCCCAAAGAAGGGTTCTGCAGCCAAGCGTCCCAGATCCCGTACTCTCACTTCAGTTCACGAGAACATTCTTGAGGACCTTGTGCAGCCTGCTGAGATTGTTGGAAAGCGTTGCAGATACCGTCTAGATGGATCCAAGATCATGAAGGTATTATAAGACTTGCGTGTATAATTTAACTGCACTATGTTCAGAAGCTCAGGTTTTAAATGTTTGTTTACGTGCTTTGATGTAAAACTGCTTGTTGATGGGCAGGTATTCTTGGACCCCAAAGCCAAGAACGACACAGAGTACAAGCTAGAGACATTTTCTGGCATCTACAGGAAGCTTTGCGGAAAGGATGTAGTTTTTGAATACCCTAATACAGAGGCTTAAGCTTGCAATCAGGATGTCATCAGAGTTTTGTGCTACCAATTGCAAATCTTGTCTATTTTTCTCTTTAAGATAGTACTACTTATTAAGTTTTGATCCACCTTGAATTGCATTGTTAATTAGCAACAGAAGTACAATTATGAGATTTTCTCTTCTGCCAAAGATTTTGAGCTTTTGAAAGTGCTTGTAGAACATCTGTCTTTTTTGGAGCTAAAACTGCTAGCCTGCTATGATTTCTTGATGATGTTCGTCCTTGTTCATGGCTGCATATTTGCACATCACTGTTTGCTTTTATTATGCACATAAGCTTGGGGAGTGTAGTATGGGTTGTTGAAAGCATAGTTAGGTGTATGGTATTTATGCGACGAAATTCTGTACTGTTTGTGAAAGCAATTGTGGTTTGCTTTGAAGGTTAGAAAATGTCTACTGGTCCTCGAAATATTGCTTCAAAGGCTCAGTAAACTGGGCACTGGCATATCTTTTTTGCTGTGATATACCCCAAATGGGAAACTGGTCGAATCTGTTATTGTGATGGAGAAAATAATCGGATCTATAATTAGCTTATCAAGCTATCAGCTAATACATTAGTTTAATTTTAATTTAATTTGAATAATCTGTATTGTTTTATGGAGTGATTGTATCTGGTTGTTTTTATGTAAACTTGTTGAAGTCAGTCAGTCACTGTTCTTAAATGTGGCAATCATCAAACAGCAGGCCAGACATGTCTGTTAGTAGTTAATTGATAGGTTGCCAATTATTCGTGAACTGATATTTGGTTTTTCTTATTATTATATTAGCTTTCCAACCACGATGAAAGCGGCACTAATTGCTACTTATATATAAGATGAATTAGTAGTAACAACTGAATACCTCAATAGCCCTAAATGGTTCCTCGTATGTAGTTGCATAACTTGTATTATGAATGTTTTGGTTTTTTTTTTTTTTTTTTTTTTTTTTTTTTTTTTTTTTTTATATTCTGTTGTCATCTCTCGCAACTTCTGATGGCAAATCTTCACTTGGATAAAAATGACTAAACAACCATTTAAGGCTAGTTTGTATCACATTATATTAAATTGCACTTCGTACTTGTTTTTTCCAGCCAATTTACCCTTCTATCATGAGTTTGGCAGTGAATGAGTCAACAATATCTTCAATTATCACTAGTCAAAAGTAATTTATGTAAATAATGTGAAGATCAAAACATTTCAACTAATAAGAAATGTATAAAGTAATAATCCAGTTGGAATTCCGTGAAAGGGAAAGTTATAAACCACACAATATTTTTTTCTAATCACACATTCATATACTTCGTGTGTTTCAAAATAGTATTTTCACTATCATTAACTTAATTCTAGCATGATTTTTTTGAGGAAAAGGTGATGAGGCAATATTATTGCAAATCATAGTCCACCAAAGTTTGTATACTTTGGGGAAAAGAGTTCATACAAACTAACTCCGAACATCCATTAGTGTCCCATCTCGAAACAAGATGAGCAACGGTATTACCCGCTCTCCTAATTCTGGTAAATTTTTTTCACTTTAAATTTGCACTACCTATATTAGTACATTGATCAGAGCAAATATATTTGTGCAGATGGGAAACAAACTAAACATAAGACAACAGAAGAAGGAGATGTAAGAAAATTCTCTTACTACTTTTTACTATATTTTTTTTTTTTTTTTTTGTGTAGCATGTGTACAACAGAAGCCCTTTTGCTAAAATCAACAAATACATAGATACATTAATCTCAAAATAGTGAAATTATGATGCATTAGGGGCTGCCAAAAAAAAAAATCTGAAAAATTATGCAACTTTAGCCTTCAGATCACAAGAATTTACTGTTCACTCCAGCTCGGTAGAGTTGCAACCTTCTACCAGAAGATTCTATGGTTATCTTCGTATTCGCTGGTGCAAATAACACATCACCTACTCTTACCATCTCCGCAGAAAAAGCTGTTTTGATTATTCCAGTCCCTTCAGTGACCAAAAATAAGGATGGACCAGCCATTGACGGAAACTTTGTCGATTTTCCTTCAGGAAGATCACAATGATCAACTTCAAACTCTTCAAATGGAGGACGGTACCTTTTTGTGAGTCCATCAGTACCCTCTACGTTGAAGCCCCTAAGTATATCAGGTCGGCCCTGAACATCAGATGAGTTTAGTCAGATAAATTCTTTTGATGAAATACAATACTGAATTACTGATATGACTTATCACAGCCCATACATGCTATGCTACAACTTCTTATCAAAAACCAAGTTTCTTCAATACGCTTCAAAATTAAAAATGAAAAGAGGAAAACACAATTTGGCCAAGAATAAACAAAGAAAAATTTGGTCACCCTCAACCTGTCTTTACTAACTAACAATCATGAAATGATATAACTGTTAAATAAAACTGAAATTCATGCACCGAAAAATGCTGCTGAGATGCTGAGAGTGTAACCATCATCTAAAAGAAGTGATCAGAGAAAAGACAGGAGTATCAGAGGAGTTTGAGGCACTAGTAACAAATCTCCCCACCTAAGTACCAACACATCACTCAGGGATTGCACCAAGAACAATCCAAACTAAAACTAAATAGTAAAGCAGGATTCAAATAATCAAGCATGTATACCAAAAGCTTACCAGTTTGTATGTGAGCATATCACATAAAGTTTTCACATCCCTCTTCTTGGGAGTTAGACCAGCCCGAACAACATTATCTGAAGTTGCCATACACTCGATGCAATCACCAGATACATATGCATGTAGTTCATTTGCCCCCAAGCACAATGCTTCACCAGGGTTTAATGTTACATAGTTCATAAGGAAAGCTGCTAGCACACCCACATCACCCGGATACTCCTTTTCAAGCCGTAGGACCAGCTTTTCCTCTGATGTTAACTGATATAAGAGAAAACGTCATTAGATCAATAGCTTCACAAGGACCCACATAAGTGAGGAATATAATTGTATCTTGATGAATAGAACAATCATAAAGCACATGTGCTAAACACATCTAAGCGATTCCATCACAAACAGATAGATTTAAAAATCTTTAAAAATCTTTAAAAATATACAGGATTTCTAAAAAGATGCCAAATCTAGATCAGATAAGCTAAAAGAGTCTAAACACTTTTAACACTGGGCAGGCCTTCACAAAAAATAAAACAGGACATAGGTAATTTCAGTAAAACATCCCCAGAAGCAACATGCTAACTTCATCAACCAACTCAAAAAAGAAAATTTACAAACACTGCTCCCATATATATACTCTGTTTGTGCACCATGATATTATGAAAACTAGTTGTTACATTAAAACAAAATCACTGCCACAAATTGCATATTGGCCCTTTCCTACATTGATAATTGAATCAGGATCTGGTTTCTTTCACACTACTATATAAACTAAAGCAATAAGATCAGCTAATAGTTTTTCAACATCTGCCATTACAAATTTCAAAACTCAGAGCTCCATAAAATGAAGTAAAACACAAAACCAATAAGAAAAATAACATACCTCATCCTTCTTCCTCAGACGAGGAATCAACTGAGACAGCACCTCAGCAATCACATGCTCACTTGCTGACATAATTTGAGTAAACAGCTGTTTCAATGCAGTTTTAACTGTATCTTCCCCATCTTCTGGGGTGATGTTCAGCAGTTGATCCACAACTGCAGCACCAACCAACTGTGATATTTCTGGAACACCTTTAAGAATCCGTTGGAGTTCCTGAAGCACACGAGGAAACTAAAGCATCAGCCAAAACGGTTTGATCTTACAAGTTACTCATCGATTTCTTAAAATCAAGGGAGGTGGAGATTGCACTTCAAAGAGATTACTTCCAGTAAGAAAAATTTACTACATCATCATAAAGATAAAGACATGACAAATGGTCCAAAAAACAAAACATGTATAAGCCAAGAAGACAAAAGTTTCTCAATGATGTATGAGTTTATATACTGTATTTAATACACTACTAAAGCAAAAAACCAGCAACATATGAGCTCCGCATAAAAACTCTTTATGACATGTCTAAACAGCCAAGACTTCTAGTTTACTATAGTCTACAAAATTAGTTTCAAACACTTGATTCAATAGAAAATTAACTCCTGGAAAATAAGATAATCAGCAATAGAGACTAATGAAAGGCAAGCTTCATACCTCGATACTGACAAATCCGCAAAGGATCTCAAACTTTGTTACTGCAAGAGCCATTTCTGGCTTATGATTGCCATCCTTGTAAACAAGTGGGTCCCTAATGTGCAATTTCTTTGCCAACTCCTTGCAAGGGTGAGCTTGTATTGACAATGTCTTTGCGACCGACAACGCCTACAATGTTCAAAATAGCAACATTACAATCAAATTCATCTTTTTACTCACAGATTAACCAATTACTATCTCATGAATCCATAAAAATGTAAAGGTACACATAATTCACAACATAATTTTCCATAAAACCAAAAGTAATTATTCCATAAAAATGTAACAGTATACAAAATTCACCATGCAAATTTTTCCAAAACTCAAACAAACATTGAAATTCTAATTAAGCAATCTAACAAACATGCAATTCAGCAAGATCAAGAAATTAAAATAAAATTAAAAAAACCCAAAATCAATAGAATTTTACCTTAAACAAAAAGGGTAGATCATAACCCCACTTGTCAACAACCTTATGACCAAGCACATTAGGGTTCTTCTCAATCCAAGACTTGAGAGTGTCACCCTCAAAATCCCAAAATTTACTATTCTTTCCATTTAAAAAAAATATTCCCTTTTTTCAGCACATGAGATGGACCAGATTCATGAGTACCCATCCAAAATTCAGCATAGGGTTTGTTTGGATCCAACTTATTACCCTCAGAATTGGCACTAAACAATCTATAAACCTCAGAATCACTCCCAATTTTACCCCAATCATAATTTTTCACAGAGCATTTCAACCTCTGAAGCCTATGCTCATTCCAGAAAACACCATCATCAAACGCCATTACCCCTTTACTCTTCTTCTTCAACAATGAAACCAAACAAATCACAACAAAAATCAATGAAATTGGTAGAAAAGTTAAGTATGAAACATCATCTGCAAACTCGACAGTCATTGAGAAATAAAAAATTGAAAAAACCCCACCAAAATTCAAACAAAACCCAGAAATCAAAATTCAAAAAGAATGAATTTTGATAAGAAATTCCCAAAATTGATTGATACCCACAAATGTAGATGATGTACTGAAGTGAAATTAGGGATTGATTGATGATAGATGGT